GTAAGTGCCGTATGAGCCAAGCCCCTGGCGGTAAGTGCCGGATGAGCCGAGCCCATGGCGGTAAGTGCCGGATGAGCCATGCCCCTGGCGGTAAGTGCCGAATGAGCTAAGCCCCTGGTGGTAAGTGCCGGATGAGCCAAGCCCCTGGCGGTAAGTGCTGGATGAGCTAAGCCCCTGGCGGTAAGTGCTGGATGAGCCAAGCCTTTTCCTTGTAAGTGTTTCACGACAAGAGATACAATAATAAATGTATATAGATATATATATTTGTTTGGTTGTGGTTGTGGAGGTGTAGAGGGATTGGGACTCAAAGAAAAAAAGCAAAATTAGGAAACAACACAAGCGGTAAACTTTTATTTAGGAGGTTGTCAGCAAAGGGAGTATTTTAAAAGACTGACGTCTTTTGATGACAGCAGGGGTGATAGAGAAATAGAAGTTAGACGTACACTATCAGCTAATTTGGTCAGGGAGTAAGAGACCAACCATTTGAAACAATTAGATGTTTTATTTTCTCAGACGTGATGCCGCTATTTAACAAAAGGTCGCCCCGAACTCAAATGGAAGGATGTGGATCATTTGCGGAAAAGGGGGCGTACATTAACTAAATTTAATGCTGCCCGTGAAGAACTCCTGACAGTGCTGTCCCTTACCTCTCCCATAGATTTATACAATTTTTTTACGCACGTATATAAAGAAAGAAAAAGTGTCATCCCGAGTGGTCGTCCTCATCCCATCCATAGGTGTGCCTCGGGGGAGGGGGAGAATTTCGACTGCTAGGTGTCCCCTAGGGGCTTTATCCGGCTTTGCACTAACCTTAGCTACGCCAGTGTACACGCGGCCCAAACAAATTCTATAATGTCTTTAGACAATACGCCATTTACGGCCAGCGTTTTCCAAATCATTTTTTAGCAGACATATATTTTAATTAAAATGGTTCCTCGCTTAAGCAAAAAGGTTGCCGACCCCCCTGTTAATCCCTGTACTTCAGTGAAGTGGCGTAGCTAGGGTTGTGTCATCCGGTGCGGGAAATTCATGGGCTCGACCCCCCCCCCCCCGACTTCCGATTCCGCGATGGATTTCTCCTTGTTAAAATAAGTCCACAGTACAACAATGGCAAGAAACACACAAAAAATAGTTGAAGTTCAGGAGGTCAAAGGTCAATGTATTTAAGAACTGTAACAGCGTTACTTTGTCGTTAATTTTACATTAATTTTACTTTATTAAAAAATTTCCTGTCTTGGTTTTCAAAGCTGCAAACCTGTCAATCACTTGAGCAAAATCGATATCCTTCACCGTGTATCTATTTTAATAGATAAAAGAGCCAGATCAAAAAGCCTTGACTGCCCCATGGTGGATCATAAATATTTATTGATAAGCCTTTTGTTGAAAAGCTCTGATCACATGAAGCCACACACGCACAGATCGTAAGAAACCATTGAAGGCATAGCGAGAGTACTGGAAGAGATTCTAGCAAGTCTTATTCAGCTATGAATTTAAAAACATCAAACACTGACCAGTCCATGACTTTGTGAAATTCAATGTCAGCTGCCTTTAGGCGTCTTCTAAGCCTTAATATTTCTTGTAAAAGCTCATCTTCTCATAATTCCACATAGAAAGAGGTTAATTTTGGAACGGGCATCAACAACTCTTCTTCACTTGTTGATTGTAGACTCTTGGGTTGAACAGCTCTAAACATATCTGCTACCCGGTACTTTCTTGATCGTAGATTATCTGATTTGGGGTTCAGAATAAAAGCTATAAATACACTCCAGCATCCCCATACTGTTTTCTTCAGGCAAAGAGAGCACAGCATCTATTAACTTCCCTCCTGCCATTCTCTTCTTAAACCTTAATCTTCTTTTTACATAAATTCCATGTCTCATTTTAAAAGGGCATTTTCAATAGCATGGAGAAACAATCTTGAGGCCTTTAGGTTGGTCACCACTTTGTCAAGAGTAAAGCCTTTGGTCTGCAGATACTGCTATATAAGATTAACTTCCTTAAGAAGATGAGCCCAAATGGAAATGTAGCAGATAAACGTGAAATCACAGAAAGCATGTAAAAGAACTTGTGCTGTATGACAACAGTGCTTAAATGTTAAGGGGCGGTGCTAGTGGCGAATCGGCGAAAATATTTATTTTTGAGTATTTCTTACTTTTAATATATTGTGATTCAAAACCCATTTTTTTCATTTAAATAAAAGAAAGAAAATTTTGTAAAATATTATTTTGTTAACCCTATAAATGGGTAAAGTGTGATTTTTGAAAGTGTTTAATTTTCACCGATTCGATTCATGTACTGAGAATCGCTCGACCACATTGTATTTTGTATCAATGGAAAGCTTTATGTCTCAGCTTTCTGGACCCGATCGAGCGGACTCGGGTGAGGGCTGACCTGGCAAAGGGACATCTCCAACGTGCCGCTTCGTGGTCCAAGACCGGGCTTGGGGGGGGGGGTGATTCGGGGAGGCCATAAAGACCACTAGCTCGACGGCCCGCTAACGCCATTTCTTAATGTGGCATTTCTCATAGTTAGATATATATACTTGTTATAGCTTCCCGTCACTACGAACGTTACAGAACACTTCAGTCATGGCCAAAACGGTGTTTTCCTGACCTAGTTATAGGGTCACCCCATCTATGAGGCATCAACCTTGAACTTTTAATAAAGCACACTTGTGGATTGGTTACGTGTATGGAAAATTTAAATGTGATCCGTTATCCTTTTTTTTTTAAACAATGAAATTCGATTAGACCGAGCAGTTTTTTTTTTCTCTGTAACTATGCAACTGTTCAATTTGGTGTCACACCTGAGATGGTGTCACACCTGAGATGGTGTCACACCTGAGATGGTGTCACACCTGAGATGGTGTCACCCTGTGCGGTCTCTACCCCCGTACCCCCATAGCTATGCCACTGCAGTTGAATGTATAATAATATGAACTAACATGCTGAAGCTTGTGGCATGCATCTACTTACATCGTGCTATTTACGGTGGGAAAAAAAAAAAAAAAAACATTTTGATTGTCATTAAATTTTAGTTATGCCACTGCAGTTGAATGTATAATAATATGAACTAACATGCTGAAGCTTGTGGCATGCATTTACTTACATCGTGCTATTTACGGTGGGAAAAAAAAAAAAAAAACATTTTGATTGTCATTAAATTTTCGTTTATCCAGTCCATATAGAGGACACCAATCCCAGCAGCCAACGTTAAAAGAGATTATCTTAATTTAAGCCTCCTTACGCAAAAATAGCTGTATTTTAACCAGTTAAGTTTCAGTTGCCTGCAAAATATGGCACATGCAGATTTTTTATACAAAAGGATGCCTCTTTGGCTTGAGATTAAAATTAAATCATCATGAAGAGTGAAGTAATTTTGGTGTTTTCGAAATTTCCTGCATATAATTTATAACCCCAAACATTTTCAACCGGGGCAGTCGCCCCTTTCGCACCACCCTGGGCTCGCTACTGCATCCAATATATTTTGAAACGATAAGTTACAAACTGAGACCTTATATTTTACATTTAATTAAGCCGGGTAAGATTCCCAGATCTGGAAGATTTGACACTAGCGTATACTTTTAAGATTGCTTCTTTATAGATACCTCAACAGATTTAATCGAAATGACTGAAGCCGCATCGGAAAGAGAGAAGTTAGCTAGAATCAGGAGAAACCAAGAAGATGTTGTGTCTAGACTTCGCGCAGGAGATCTCGTCAAAATAAACAGGAACGGTGGTTTTTTCAAACACTGGGCAGTCTATATAGGTGATATACTTTTTTCTAGCACTGGGCAGTCTATATAGGTGATGTACTTTTTTCTAGCACTGGGCAGTCTATATAGGTAATGTAATTTTTTCTAGCACTGGGCAGTCTAGATAGGTGATGTACTTTTAAAAAATCATTTTTAAATGTTCTCTATTATACTTGTACTTGTACCTTTCTTTATCCTTTATTTGAATCTTTTATTATATTTTCAAATATTATTTGAATGAACTCAAATTCAGTACAGTCGATGCAATTAGAGTTTAAAACTGTATAGCCTCATAGACGCCTTGGAATGTATGACGGGCAGTGGCGTTACCAGAGGGTTACTAGGCTGCACCGGATGACTCCTCACCTGGGGGGGGGCGGGACATTTTTCCATAAGATCAGTGGCGTAGCTTAAGTTTGTAACGCCCGCAGTGGGTCATGATTGAGCAGCGTTCACTTCAGAAAAACACAAACGATAAACTCGGGTGTCATTTTGAGGTTTAAATTTAATAGGTACTAATATTGCCTCGTGAGCTCACTAGATATCGATCTAATTGATACTACTCAGTGGAAGTAGTATGACACTAGTATGTAGATGGTCAGATCGGTGCGGGTTTTGACCTGTGAGAGTCAGGGAATAGCCTTGCCATTTTTAGGGTTGTTTCTTAAAAGTTATAGAGCTAATAGAATTTAACTAAATGGCCTTATCTATTACTATCACTATCAGAAATATAATCCTTTAAAAAGAAAATATTTTTAAAGGACTTTCTTTTTTTTTCAGGCGACTCTCTTGTAATCCATGTTCAGGTCCCTGACGAAGATGGTGCGTTTTTTAGAACATCCATGTCTGTCTCCAGGCAGAGAGAAAGCTCACCCCGTTACGAGGGTGATACCCGCTCACCCCGTTGCGGAGGTGACACCCGCTCACCCCGTTACGGAGGTGATACCCACTCACCCCGTTACGGAGGTGATACCCGCTCACCCCGTTACGGAGGTGATAACCGCTCACCCCGTTACATAGAGGTTAGGTCCACCTACTCACATGGTGACCCAAATGATGCCGTTGCCCACATATACCCAACTCTTCACGTTTCTTCTCCTGGTTTCCCAAATGGTCCTGTTACAGCTCGTTACCCTAACGGTGCTATTTCCACGCGGGGATACGGCCTCACGAGAACACAGCCGGCTGACAGACGGTCAAACGGTTCTATTCTGCGGAAGAAGGACAGCTACGTCTTAAAGGAAAACATCTTCGACGTCGCCGAGGATGATGAGATTGAGCTGGGAAATGACTTGGATACCGTCAAAATGTAAGCACATGAAATCGTACTCTCGTATTAGTATTACTATAAAAGGTGAGGGTGTCAAATGATAACAGGAATTCCGGTAAGCGGTTTTGAAATCTGCAACCGGTTGTGGATTTTGGAAAAACGATAGTCTAATCGATCCTTTATTATAATTTTTTAAAATATTCCTTAAAAAAAAATTCAAACTTTTACACATAATTATTAAGTTAAAAATATTAAATAAGAGTAAAGTTAAATGTATAAAATAAGAACTCTCTTCGCGGAACTAACCAAACTGAACTTTAGAAAAATAGACGACTGCTCTTTCGAATAAAATATGCGCTTGTCTTGCAGGTGTGTATTCTGCTTCAGAGATCAAACAGTGGCGTAGAAAATGGGTGGTCCGCCCCGGGTGGCACTTTTTGCTGTATACCGAGGGGAGGGGCGGCTTTTCGGGTCAAGTGCGGAGGGTTTTTCGTGGAAGAGGGTAGACAAGAAATCTTAGCCCGCCCCGGTCGGCATTCACGTTTGCCACAATTACGAATGTTCACAAGTGCAGATCGCATTGACAAATGATGTAAAAAAAAAACTTTATCAATATGAGGTTGTTTTTTTTTTTTTTGAATGTTTTAAAAAAAAGTATACCCGCTACCTTGGATCCTGTATAATAAGCCGCAGTCTAACTTTTTTTCTGTGGAACATTTGAGAATGCTTTGTACAAAACGATAATCAGATTCTTAAAACCAAATTTCCACCCCACCTTAAAAAAATAAAATCCATAATTTAACATCATTAAGGGAGTAAAAATCTTAAGTTACGCTGGTCAAGAGCATCCGGCTCAGTACCGCTTCTGCAGATTGTTTGTCAGGTTACGCTACGTGATGCAGCCAGATGTTTTTTAAGTTTGGTGTCAAAGATGCGTGTATAGCTTCTTGTACCGGTAGTAGAATACTATTCCGTTCATTAACAGACTCTACGGTTGTCTTGTTGGGAGACACATATCTTTCTTGCACATCTATTGCGTTTCAATCTGGGGCGTATACGAGTGATAGATAATAAGTGTTTGCTGGCAATTATTATTATTATTTTTTTGGCTTCACTCTTATGTGGCCTGCAACGTAGATTTAAGCCTTAAAAACTGTCTCGTTGGTTTTGTTTTATTATTCATAGAATCTAGATACCGGTATTTAATTAGAAATATTCGCTGGCTGTCAAAATCCTGGAATCGTGTTGACAGCTACTTGACTACTTGGACTAGCTATTCCACCATGCTTGAGAACACATAATTGTTAAGAATCTCGTCATTGTAATTGTAAGGTGGGAGGAAGAGATAAACTGGTGAAGACAAAGGCGTACATACTTTGACTAAATGCCACCCAGGGCACACTCCCAAAACTGTGCCCCCCTCCCCTACACACATTGTGACACTCTTGGTATGTATAAAATAAATGCCATAATTGCTGCCGAAGGGTGGATAGACTTATTCGCTTTCTCCTACATACGCCATTGGTAATGGAATAAATTTAGCCATAACTTTAAGTAAATACAACATACAGAATAGCATACAATTCCTAGATCATAATATTACAGAATAGCATACAATTCCTAGATCATAATATTACAGAATAGCATACAATTCCTAGATCATAATATTACAGAATAGCATACAATTCCTAGATCATAATATTACAGAATAGCATACAATTCCTAGATCATAATATTACAGAATAGCATACAATTCCTAGATCATAATATTACAGAAAAGCATACAATTCCTAGATCATAATATTACAGAAAAGCATACAATTCCTAGATCATAATATTACATGGATATGGTGGCCTTTTCTTTTCTTTTAGGCCATTGCCACCAGATGTCATCGTGGCACGTGCGGAAAGCTTGGTGGACGACACCATCGAATACCATGCACTCTACAAGAATTGTGAGCACTTTGCCAGATGGTGCCGCTATGGTGAGGAGATAAGTGTCCAGGTAATAGGCCCGAATGATACGTGGTGTGTGCTGGTGTAAAATAAGAAATGGTGCGCAAACATGAACATTTTAATTTTAATCCTGTCATTCATAATTAAGAGAGACGCACTGCGGTGAAAACAAGTTCCATTGTTATTTTCCCGATTTAAAAAAAAAATAATAATTAAGTTTACTGGCGCTACAGTAAATGTCAATTTTATTTGATTCTATTTCTATTTCAAATAAACAAGTCCAGAAAAATAGTCGCTGGCCTGACCCTTGGACCAATGCTTGGAGGATTTCTGATCGGGGGCCCAGTAGGTGCCACAGTGGCTGGGATCTTGTCGGTTGGAGCTCTTATTAAAAATGCCTGGAATGAAAAGCCCAACTAGTACGGTAGCTAAAAACGTGATCATCTGACACAGACATGAGTATGTGTACATATTCATTTGAAATAATAACGGCATTTAACAAGTGGCAGTCGGGAATTTAAAAATAAATAAATGTGAGCTTTTCTTTTCTAGCCTAGATTTTGTAGATCTAGCTTAGATGTTGTACCTGTAGTTCTAGCCTAGATTTTGTAGATCTAGTTTAGCTGTTGTACCGGCAGTTCTAGCCCAGATTTTGTAGTTCTCGTTCTAGCTTAGACTTCGTATATATATAACCCCAATAAAAACAAATTCTTTCCATGAATTTGAAAATGATAAAAGTAGGCTCAAGCTTTTCTTTTTTTCAATTAAAAAATATTTTTTTAAAACTACTTTGAACTCTCCTGGTGATTCATGTACAATCATAAACATTAAAATAAACCTTTTTCTTAATTAACGATAAGAATGTACCATGTTTTAGTTTTATTAATATGTTATTTGCTGATGTCTATATAAAATATATATATTTCAGAATACACAGAGTGATTAAATTAAGATAATACAATGTAATTTTTTTTTTATCAAGCATTGATACCCCAGCTGTCATAACATCGAACAATCACTATTTGATGATGTTTGATGGCTGACTTTTGCACTTGAGAAAAAATTAAATGTCTTACCAATAAATTGTATTAGTTTAAAAATTGTTATCATAATAAAATAAATGTTTATTCTTCATACTTTAATTTTAATGTGCAAAGGGACATTTACAACAGTAACAAAATGGTGGAGGGACAGGCGTCGATTAAGGAACATAAAACCATTTAAAGTTGTAGTTCAAATTTGAGGAATTATCATCAAAGTCCAAAGAGGTGCCATTGAAGACTTCTTCTGTTGTGAAACCCTACAGGATGCTGTAGAAAACAAACTTAACCCTTACAGTACCGACCTACATTTTTGCTATATATAGCCTCAGTACCAGCTATTATTTTGCTAATTATTCCCTGTGGCCCAGACATTATTTTGGAATGAGCCAAAATTTGATAGGTTTGCAAATTTTTAAAAAACTTTTTTGTTTTAAACAATTGATAACATGGAGAGAATTATCTATTCAGAAATGGATTAGGGTGTTAAAATACTAATGTGTTTTGTTTAAACTTTTCATTGCAAAATGGCACATGAGGGGATTGTATGGCTAGCACAGTGTCCAGTCGATCTGAATCTTAATAAATAAATATCTACGTTGACACTAGTCTAAAACATGTCAAACCTACAGGCTCCGGAAGGCGCAAATTTTGAGATATAGTAAGCCTATTTCCTTCAACAATTTCACCCCCCCCTCTCCCTCATCAGCATCAGAATCATCTAATCCCAATTAAAGCTCAATAAAATTTTCATCAAGGGGGCGTAAGTCGTCATCAACAATAACGCTAGGTAGCGCCATGGAAACTACAAATACAGATCTGCACAAAAAAACTGTACTTGGTCGATTTTCATAAAGTAAAAAATAAAAGGCAAAATAAAATTCGACTGTTCCCCCTAACCAATAAACATTCTGCCCGAGACTGGGGTGAAAGGTTATATCCTCGGTTTTGTGTTTATATAAGATACCCCTCTATGTGGCAAATAGACGTGCTTGGGCCACAGGGAAAAGACGCGCTTGGGCCACAGGGAAAAAAGTAGGTCACTGCAAAAAGAAGCGACCGGTACTGTAACTGTAAGGGTTAACTTAACAAGAGAAGCTATTGAAAATACTGAATATCAACCCACAGGACACAAAACAGCAGTTCACCGCACTAATGTTTGGACGCTAACGGCCACCACTCTGAGCACCCCTTGATAACTGAAAAAAAATTCAGTATTCAAATATTTATACTGGTTTTTCTCTTCCTGAAATGTCTTTACTTTCTACTGGCTGACTCCGGATGTATCTATAAATTAAAAGATGCTTACTTCACAAAAGCACTGAACAAAAATGGACCCAAATCAACACTGGTTTATTACTAACAAATTTTATTTGCTCTTCTTTTTTTTAATCTTTGCACCAACTGGTTTCACCATTGCTTTATCTAGCTTCCTTTTCAATTTTTTGTTTGCTTTCTTTTCCACACTGTCTTTGGTATTAGGCGACTTTGTTTTATCTTCAGACACAGCCTCGTCCTTATCTAAAACATTCAAATCATAGTCAGACTCTGAGTCTGCCGGACCATTGGGACTAGGAGTATCTACATTGTTCTCTTTCTCTGGCTCATCAGTGTCGTTATCGTTGGCTGCAGTTTCTGCCTCATCTCCTGAATCATTGAAATCATCCACTGAGAAAGAAACAATTTAGACAAGCATGAAGTGGTTTTAAAATTTATGTATTTATAATCAGATTAAGTCCAAAACATGTCAAACCTACAGGCTCCCGTAGGGAATATTGCGGTAATTCATTGTACAAATTTTTGTCGTTTTTGTACACCATTCTTAAGCCAACCTTTATTTTGATATATCGGTACCTGGAATAATCATTGACCCTTTATAAATTGCTCCAATCTAATAAGTTTTAATAGGCAGATGTTAAATAAATGATTAAGTTAAAATTTGGATTGTTTAATTTCAATTGTCCTAAATGAAAAATTATTTTATAGGAAATTTCTTTTCATATTTCAAATGTATTGTTGTTCCAATAAATAACAAAAGAATTCATTTTGATCAGATTCAGCATTATAGATTTCAAAAAGTTTTGTCTCAAAATTATACTATTGGAATGTTATCCTTTGAAAGACTAAAATCACCAATTCTAAAACAAAGGATATAATTACAGTCCAAATATCCCAAAATCTGACCTGGATATAAATCACTCATGTCGTCATTGTTATTGGAGTCGTCATCAGCATCATCTGACCAGATGTTATCTCCCCCTGAAACGCTGTCACTGTCAGAGTTAACTGTTTTCTTTTGACGCCCACCACTGCGTGGTGTAAACTTCTCTCCTGTCTCTTTGCATTTTGTCCCTGCAACACAATTCAATAACATGTTATTTTTAATATCCTTCCTTTATGACCATCATTTTAAATCCTCTGTCATGACAAAGTTTTTCAAGCAACACAATTGTAAGCGACAGCTCACAAACAGAAAATATCATCATTACTTTACCCTTAATGCTTGAACAAAGGTTATGAAAAATAAAATTTATGTTTTGAAAAAAAAAGAAAGCTATTGTATTATATCAATTGTGTATTAATCAGTGTCTGGCAAAGAAACCTGTTATCATTACTAAATTTTTCATTTCCAATTTCCACATTAAATTTAATCAAATGATGGTTTTTATGTTTCACTCACATCGGCATGACAGCACATTTATCATTTAGCAAACATTATTTTCCATATTAAATATGTTGGCATTTATTCAATCTGGTTTTTTTCCTTCTTTTTAGAAAAACCACAAATAAAATAGTAAAAAGATTTTTTTTTTTTTACATTAGCCATCGTCACAGTGGATAAAATAAACTAATGTTGTGAGTGGCAAAAGTGTTTAACTGTGAATCCTTGAAGTAAAGTAAATCTGACCTTAAGCACTTATTTCTCCCCTCAATATTTATTAACATATTAAAATAATAATTTTCCTTAGATGTATAAAAATCTTATTTCTACTTTCCTGAAATTTCTGATTTAGAGATCTCGACCCCATAGCATTATTTTAAGTTGTGTGATATTCAGGATTGCTAAAAAAAAATCATTAAAATAATTACAAATCAAATATAAGTGTTACGTGGAAAAAAACGTACATCTTGCCAAGGCCCTTTTAAACCGCTTGCCATTTATATGCCTTTCAACATCTTGTGGTGCCTTCCCAATGTGCCTTAAAGTCAAGGTACAGAATAGCTCATGTCTGGAGAAATAAAGACAATAAAGTACACCAAAAAATAAATTGATTGACAATTTCTTTATTGTCCTTCTTCAGGTTTTCCTCTACCCTGTGTGTATTTCTTATACTTTTCTGAGAGAAACAATACTAACTAATGTATATAAATATATTAACCCAGTAGAAAAAATAAAATTCTTATCTGCTGAAACACCATGTATTTTTAAAAAATATTTTTTTTAACAGCATTTAAAGTTTTAAGATACTTATCAAATCTACTTTAGAATTTTGAGGAAGTTATTTTGGAAACATTTCAATTTATCAAAAAAAATTGTCAAAAGACAATAAAAATGATTAAAATGACACTCCAGAATTTGAGAAAATTAAGTTAAGTAACTTAACAGTTCGACATTTTTAGCCAAATTATGATGGCACTTTTATTCACAAAGGCTTTCATTAATCTATAGTAAACATTTATTAGCTGATTTTGTACCGTTCAAATCAATCAAGAGAAAAAAATGGCTTGATACATGATAGTGAATTCATATTGAAACATTTACAATTGGGCTAAGAGCCTCTACATATTAACTTATCACTTATTAATGAGCTGAGTAATGTCCTATTTAGCCCTTTAATAAAAATTCATTGAATAGGCTAACCATACATGTTAATTCTTTTGTTGCTAAGAAACTAAAATTGTTTATGATAAAAAATAAATCATTTACGTATGCTTTTTCTTTGAGCTTGGAACAATGTGAGGTTTATGCTGGTCGTAATTGTAAGTCTGCTCTGATCTGGCTTTCTTATATTTCTTCCCATCAACATAGGTACGAACAGCCTCAATAGTTGCTGGCATCTCATGTTTGGTAAGGGCACATCTGATCTAATAATAACGATGAGAACGGTGTAAAAAAAAAAAACTTCCGGTAATTCCATATAATTATGACATGACTTTGCTCTGATCATGGGACTGTCTTGTAGTCAAGACATTCAAAACATTTTAAAGCTATAATAATACTGCTACCTAGCTCAAGTGGGTCAAAGTTATTACTTTTTTTATTAAGGCCCCCAAAACCACTTTTTTACGATGGATATTTCCTCCCTATTTTGTAACCAATTTTT